TTTTTTTGTTGATAAAAACAAGATTTTTAATTACAGCAGATGTGATTCCACACCAAGAAAAACTTGCAATTGATACCGCACTTCCAAAGAATGAGAATTTATTCAAAAGAAAAAGATTTTATTTTTATTAGTCGATGTCAAATAAATATATTTTTCTCTTTTCTTTTTCTGTTCACTGATATGCATGCAATGCATTTTCCCCACCCCCCTCGTAAATCAAGCAGAAAACGAAATCAGCATGCCACACCCTTGAGTTTGATTGACGGCCTAAAGGAAAAAATAAAACATTCCTCCCTTCCCTGCCTTCAAGGTCACAGAGGAAATGACGTTTCTCTGGGTAAACGGGGGAAAAAATTTTCCCCTTCCTTACATTTTCCTCTGCTCAACTTCAAGGATGAGTCCAATTTTCGCTTTTTTCGTTCTAGATCAAAATGGCGGGAAAATCGAGCAAAATTTTTCCCGGTTTTCTGGTTTCCCGGTTATCTGGATACCGGATAAATGGTTCTCTACTGTATATATATTAAGAAAATGCAAATAGAAATTATCAGACAAAAATATAATTAACAATGGAAAAGAGGAGCCATTTAACAAGATTTAAAAAGTAAAGAATAAAAATGGAAAACACTTACAGCATGGCAGTCATCAAGGGGCACTACCATGCAGTCAGTGCAGGAGCAATTTCTGTAGTGGGTGGCAAAATAGTACAAACAAAATACTCCAGACTGCTCTGAGGAGTAAAGAATAAAAAACAAAAGCTAGTCAGATGAAGACAATATACAGTAGAGAACGATTTATCCAGTATCCTGAAAACCGAGAAGAATTTTGCTTGGTTTTCCCGCTATTTTGAAGTATAACGATTATAAAAATAAAAAAAAGGGGGAATTTGACTCATCCTTAAAGTTGAGTAGGGGGAAAGGGGGGAATTCTTTTCCACCTTTGCCCAGAAAAACTTCAATTCTTCTCCTGACCTTGAAGATCATTAGAACAAGAGGAGGCAGGGAAGGGACAAAAGTTTTATTTTCTCCTGTGTGTTGGTTGTTTTTCTGATAAGCTGCTGTCAATCAAACTTAAAGGAGTGGCATGCTGATTTCCTTTTCTCTTAGATTTATGATGGGGTGGGGAAAATGCATTGCTCATGCATATCAAGAGTTAAGGAACTTGAAACTTCTGGCTAAGAGTATTGATTTTAAAGGTGAAATGTGAGATTTATTTTAAATCCACAATAGTTACTCAGTTTTTGTTATCCTTGATTTATTATGATGAATTGTCTTATTATTTCGGATAATGCATTATTTATTAAAAACAAGACGTTTTTTAATCACCAGTTATATTCATCTATTTGGCATTGATTAACAAAAAATATTTTTTTTGTTGAATAAATTCTGATTTTTTAGAAATGTGGTATCATTAGCAAGTTTTTCTTGATGTGGAATCACATCTGTTTCGTTAAAAATAGTCTTTTTATAAAAAATAAAATAAAAGAGATTGTTTATTAATTTAAGCATACAATTATTTGTTAATAAAAGCAGGCGATTATTTTATGAAGCAGATAACAGTTTTCTTTTTTTAATTTTGATTGTTTTTCTAATTCCACTGCGTTTGAGTTTTTTTTTCTTTTCTCTTTAAGATAAATTTCGTATTCAATAAATTAATTCTTTTCATTCATAAACTTTATCATTAAGTTTTTTTTTTTTTTTTTTTTAAATTCCGTTGATCTTATAATACCCTGTCTTGTTCCAGGCTTTAATATTTAAGTTAGGACCTTTTTAAAATATCGTTTCCATTCGATAATTTTCAAATGTTGTTTTTATTTAGATTAATAAATTTTCCTTTTATCCCCTCCCCACTATAATTAGGTATGAAATATATTGCGATTTTTAATTATTGGTTTTGTTTTATATTAGTTAATTTGGGGATTTTAATTATCATCAAAAAATAAATATGCGAATTTGTATTTTTTAAACTTGTTTTTCTTGTCTAAACTTGCAAATGCTTTTATCCTTTTGAATGTTATTTTTCTACCATTTTTTTTTTTAATTTAGGAGATCTTTTCATTTTTTTCTTATTTTAAAATGTGTTTCACTTTTTCCTTGTAATTTGAGTTTGATAAAACATCGATTAACGGCACTTTTGGCAGATCCAGAAAACCGGGAAATTCAGACATCTGGGATAGCACTGGCCCTGGTAATTGGTTCTCTACTGTACTAAGTTCCCGAAAATTGAAGAAGAAATTAGACTGAAGGGAAACTTAAGCTCTTGGATGACAGTCATATGTCACAGGTTCGAGTATTAAATTAGAATATGTTAAAATGGAAAACTACAAAACTATGAATTAAATGTCTAAAGTTATAAGTTTAGAAAGAGAAAAGTAAATAATAAAAAGTAAGTAAATAAGACCAAACAAATCAATTGGAAATATAGACAGGACCTCAATTATGTTCAAAATGATCATGTTTCAAAATGATCATTTAAAACATGATCAAAATGATTATGTTTCAATTTTGAATTTGAATGAAATTTGAACTATCCAATGTGAAGGCATAATTATTTATATTTCAAGCTCTTTTGACAAAAATTTTGACTATACAAAGAAGTGCAAAACTATTAAAGAAGCTTATGAAAAATTGATTTTAAAGAACATTCTACCATGAAAAATGGAATGAAGATAAAAATATTGCTTTTTCTATTAGTTGTACCCTGAATGTTTTTATGGAAGCAAATGATAAACTGCAATGTATTTTAAAATGTTCTATTTTCCAACTGATGACTGGAAAATGATTATTTCAGAGTTTCCACTAGAATATATCACTTCAAAAATTGTGTGGGATGGAGTTATGAAACACGAGAAGAAAAATCCTTATATTTATTCCTTATCAAATCCTTATGAACATTCTTGAAAATATGATTCCCCCAAAAATATTTTTTAAATAAAATTTTCCTTTTCAGAAAATTTTTAAATTTTATGTGAGAAATCAATGAACATGGAGAGTTTTTAAAAATTCAAGAGATAGCACAAAATTTGAACACAGTGTTTTGTATGCAAAGAACTGTTATTCTAGCACATATGTCATACCACAAGCGAAGTTATAAGGAATCTTCAGGAAAAAAAACAGATAGTTAGAACCTATGCTGAAACTAAAGAGATCATTAGTTTGCAGTAGATTACTTTGCTCATATTTTATCTTATTAATGAGTTCTTTGTATGATCTTTTACATATGTCATGGTAGATCCTCTAATTGTTATTTAATTTAATTATTATTAATCCATTATTGCATTGCTTCCCTTTTTTCTCCTTCTAGGGATTGTCCTTAAGATAACTGACATAAAATTTAAAGTCATACTAGTTTTAAAACATATCTAGATGGCATTTAGTATTAGACAACATAAGTAAAAAATACTTGTGATGAATGGGAACCTTATATTTACAAAATGGGAAGAGAAGAACAAAGGAAAAACTCTTAAAAAATAGAAAAACCCTCTTTGAAAACAATTCTCGAATTTAAATTCCAAAAAGCCTAAGTGAAATTTGAATTAAAAAGTTCATACTTTATTTTTATTTTTTTTATAAATGTTTAAACTTCAAAAATTTATTTCAATGATCTTTTATGGGACCCTTTATCTGGCATGCTCCTTTAAGAATTACTGATTCATGAATTCCTTAAAAAGAAAATGTGTGTAACATTCTTTATTACCCTATATGAATTAAAAGTAAATATTTATTTCTAACCCTTTGAGTATAAGTAACTGTTTTTTTTCTAGCTGATGGTTCTGCAATAAAAAATCAGTTCTCCTCATGCTATTCAATGGGAAAGCAGTTCAAATAATTTTACACAGAATCATAATACTTAGTGTGATAACAGGAAATATACTCACATCCAGCAGTACCGTGATGGCAAATAACAGAGGCCAGGTCATAAGTTGTAACACCTCGAGGATACGCTAAAATAAAATATATATATTTATAAATATATATATATATTTATATATTATAAAGGTATCTTCAATAACTTTAATTTTTTTTTTTTTTTTGCAAATGTGAAAAAATATAAATGTATTTTTTTTTACCTATTTATAAGTTGTAACTCCTTGATCATTACAATCAAAAGTAACTTACATGCATTTTAAATTCTGTTAAACATTAAATGTAAAGACACACCTATGACATTTGGCCATTTTAAATTAAAAATCATTGTGCAGAATTTTATCATGGTTATATCTAAAAAGAACTACTTTCTAGGAGACGAACATACTGTCTATTACTGCAAGAAATTGTTGCATCTTGCTGTGTCTCACTAAGGGTAAAAAAAAATAAATAGATATACATTGAAACATTAATAAGGCAAAGACCCACAGGATCAAAAAAATTGTCTGCTTTGGAAAAGGACATGCTAATTACTAAATCTAGTGCTGTAAACTGTTTTTTTTTTATATATAAAATTACTATGTGCATAACTCAGTTTTACTTTTTATATTGATCCAACAAGGAAAAATGATCTAGCAGAGGTTTCTTTTAAATGATTTCAACTAATCTGATCTTGGTGAAACTTTTTCAATTCATTTAACATTTTAATTTCCAATTTCAGAGTCCCTCAATACAAATTTGAGAAATAAGCTGAGATTTTAACTTTGTTTTCTTTGTTCTATTCAATCAGATTTAATATTAGTGATGCATCACAAATAATGTACTTTCAATGAACCATACTTATTTGAGCTGGGATAACTCAGGGTAAAAATTTTTATCTCTCAATGACACACAAAAAATAATTTATAAATAAATTGAGTGTCAGCTTTGAAGGGATTTAAAGGAGCTTTTTTGGAAGCAATTTTTTTCATTGGTGTGCAATTTTAAATTGGTAATCTTTACAAAAACGTCTATTACATAAATTTTTCCATATTCAGTAACAAATCAATAGAGTCATTTTAATTAATACCACTTTTAACATTTACAGTATGATTTAACAACAATATTGAGATCACTGATGATGATGACTAAAATTAAAGATTGGGTGACTAGAATACATCAATGTATTCAGTTTTCAAAAAAATTAATTAATATTATAAGATTACCAACAGAATACATCCTTAATACAGTTCCGTCCAAATATTTTAAATTAATATAGTTTTGAACTGAATGGCTTAAGATGCATACTGCCTTGTAACCAATTAAAAAAATAATGACCTTCAGGATAGATTTTGAGAAAAGCTGCTAGACAACTACTCTTTTCCCCTGGTAATGTTATCACTGCTAAAATAAAGTTTCAGAAAATTGATATTAAAAAAATGATTTTTGAAAGAAAAAAATTTTAATATGTAGCTTACCATAAAAAAATGTCAAATATATAAAAATCTCAATTTTGAATTTTTTGTCACACTGATTTTTCAATTATCCAGCAGCATACACATAAATCTTCAGTTCTTTTTTAGATAGTAAAACTTTAAGTGAAAAAATACAAAATAAACAAATATTAGATAAATTTATTTAAAGATAAAGATATTTATACAAATAATGAGGCTTACATTTATGTAAGAAAGGTGACATGTCTAATCCTTCCATTGGGAAAGAAACATAACTGCTTATTTTTGAAGAAAACATAACTTCATGACGAAATCGCTTCAGATGAATACATAACATCTGCAGAATTTCAATAAATAAAGGAATAATTATTTAATAAACAATATGCATGTTAATGACATCTTCAAAATTGCAATAAGTAGAGGGAAAAAAATATAAACGAAAAAAAGAACATGTTATAGAAATGGAATCATACCTCTGGAAGTTCAATCACTTTAGAATATTTAATTCCATTTCTTAATTTTTTGCATTTTTCACAACTGTACATATTATCCCCTTTCAATTCATCAGCAGAAAAAAATGCTGCCAAACAATCTTGCAAGCTTACTGATGGTCCCCAGAACCAACTAAATTAAAACATATCATGAATATATTATTTTCCATTAAAAAGGAATAAACTTTAATTATGAATATCAAAGAATGTAATTAATAATCATAATGAATCTTTCAGAAAAACAGCACAAACCATAATCAAGAAAGTTAAACCTTAAGATTTTACTCTGATTACAAAACTGAGTGAAATTTCCATAAATAACACCTTATCTTTGAAGCAAATGATACGGTGGCCAAAATTCTTAGTGCTGTAATAACAAATGTGGAAGAACATATTAAAGAATTTATTTTTTAAATATTCAATTTTTAAATATTTATTTGAATGATGTAAATACAGACCTACCAGTAATGGGCAAGAGTTCTCAGTAGTATACAATATTTATCTTTTTGATGACTCAGTCATTCTAATTATTTCTGTAGCCTATTATTTTAGCAGAATTATAACCAGAACTGTATATTAGGCATAAAAAAATGTTAAATCTAAGAAAATTTGTAGACTAGAAATGTAAAAACAAAAACAGCAAATTTAATTTTTTTAAAGCTTGTAGTTGCTCCGTAAAATATGCCTTTATTCCATAGAAACTACTGAGGCTATGCTAATATTAGCTGCTCTGTAGATTTGCTACTCTTCTTTAATTTAGAAATATTATCTTTCTGATTGGTCTGCTTCTTATTTAAAACTGCTATTTAATTTAAGTATTAAACAAACTTTCTCCTTATTGTCAAATTTTTCAATTTATTCTGAAATTTAAAATTAGAATATAAAGTTTTAAATTTCATTATTCAAATTATTAAATTCAATTTTAAAAACTGTTTTCCCTTTGCTGCTCAGTGCATAATAAGCATAAACTATTTTCAAATAGAAAAAAAAAAGAATCTGCAATTACCTCATAACCCAGCCAAACAGTGAACTAAACCAACCTTGATGACTGTAAACATCAGTACAAGTACCTCCACTTTTTTGATGACTTCCATGAGATGCATGAATCATGTGTAAATGATCTCTATTTGGAATTGGTAGTGATAAATCTTGAAAAGCTTCTCTTGTTGTTGAAATCTAAGGAAGTGTAATGAAGTAAAATATTAAATTAGAATAATGTTATAAAATTCTATTGCCAATAATCAACCAATACTCAAGTTTTTTTTATACACATTTAAATACTTACATTTGTTTCAGTTTATACTTATAAAAGATTATGTTGGTCTGGGTAACAAATAATTGAAAGATTTCAGTAAGATTTGTAAAAGGAATAATTTAATTTGCTCAGGGAAAAAACTAGGGTTTCTCAGAGCATTCACTGAAGTATGGATGAAATGTAGAGTTAAATGGCACAAGAGGATAAAACAATAATTTTGAGAAACATTTAATAGTGTAATAAAATATAATATTAGGTTAGCAAAATAGTAATTTTGGTTTTTCAGTGTGCAATAAAACAAAATTTTTTGTTTCTTTTAAATTTTTTTTTTTACTAAGTAATATCACTGTTCTTTCTAGCTCTCCAAATATTACAGTTTCAATTTCTTTTATCTTAATTTTTTATAAGCAGTCAGTATGCAAAATACATTAATATGAAAATTTATGGCCATCATGTGTATTGTGACGCTTATCGTCACTCAAAATTAAAATCAAGAGAAAAGACTAAAATTAGATTTCTAGAACATTTCAAAGTCTTTGATTAAATAAAACTACCGTGGGAAATCTCCATCGGCAAATAGTAACATAAATACGGATAAAGTAATTCAAATAAACAATTAGGTTTAAATCTTACAATGTCACCCCCATCTTGGGATTAACCCCATCATGGGACAAACTCGAAAACAACAATAACTTTTGGACTTGACCTTTCCTCAGATTTGCAACTTTTTATCACGCAAAAAATACGATATAAAAGCAGCCAAAGGAAAGGGTTGCAAAAGCAATCAAAAGAGCAAACAGCCAGAGTGAGTAAAGGGCTGAAACCGAAACCATGACTAAACTTGGTAAGTCTCTCTCTCCATCTATTCTAAAAACACGTAAGAATTAATGTTAAAATGATAAGTTGAATTAATTGTATATTCTAATTCTAAAATAGTTATGTAAATGCTGGTTTAATATAGTTATGTCATTTCCTAAATTGTTTAAATAATAAAATGTTACTTGTTTAAAAGAAGACTTCTATTAATTCTTTATTTAACAGAAATAAAAACACCACATTTTAATTTCAAATTCTTTCAATTTAACTAAATTTAATGAAAGACGTATTCATTTTGAAATGTGAGCTTGTAAATTTTCTGATATTATTGAAAAAATAAAAATTTTACCATATAGTGAAAATTTTACATAAAATAATAATTTAAAATTATACTGTCTAATATCAGGGATGAGAGTAGTCAGAAAGTAAAAAAGAGGAAATCCAAGAAGATATATATATATAAACAAAAATTTGACAAAAAAAGTGCGATTTTTAAACTTATAAACCATGCGAGTATAAATCCCGATATGAGGTTTTTAAATCGCGTAAATATGAAACTCTACATCGAATTTAAAAAATGCGAAAATACAAATCATGATGCGTTAATTTTTAGATTGTGATACATAATTTTTAAATTGCGTGATATTACAACCGCAAAAACGAATCACGACATTGGATTTTAAGCTCGCGTGAATACGAATTGCTACATTGGGTTTTAAAAGCTCGTAAATAAAAATCGCGATGTTGGTTTTTTAATTCTTGTAAATAAGAATCGCAATGTACAATATTTAAATCGCCTGAATAAGAATCGCAAAGTTCAACTGTTAAATCAGGCAAATATGAAAATCGATGTTTGATAATAAAATCGCAATTTTAAAAATGCATAAATACAAAACACGATATTGGATTTTTATATCTCGTAAATAAGAACAATAATGTACGGTATTTAATCAGCGTAAATAAGAATCGCAATGTGTAACTTTTAAATCAGGTAAATGCGAAAATCGATGATTGATATTAAAATTGCGTGAATAAAAATTGAGATATTTGCAGAGTCTGGATTTGGAATTTCTAAAAGGCTTGTTTGTATTGTTTTGTATAGACATAATAAATAAAAATTTACAAGACAGGGATGAGATTAGCCAAAACGCAAAAAATCTTAATTTCCATGATAGTAAATTTTACGCAAGCGCAACCCTTTAATAATAAATTCCAACAGTTTAAGGTAATAAATAATGTGGTGACATACAATTGTGTACTAATCTATTATTATAAAAACGATTACATTGATACTTAACATTTAGTGAAAAAAAAATTTACCAATTGAAAAAATAAAGCTGGAAATTATATTTTTCCTCAGTTCACATATGAGACAATTACTACTAGAAAAACTACCTGGTTTAGCAAATTAAAACTACTGAGAATATATATTAATAATTCATTTCCTTTAATAAATACTGTTATGTGATTTACAGGAAATATATCAGTAATATTACTTTTTAAATTATATTGGGGAAAAAAACTTTAACAATGGACCGAATCATTATGTTCATATTATAGTCTAATCTAACTACAGCCCTCTGAAACATATCAATAACAGTGAAGTAGAAATATATAGTAACTCCTTAACATACAAAAATTGCTATTTTAGTTTGAAAAATTACATGACAATCAGCAACTGTTTAGATAATTGTTTTTTATTTGATAAGAATTTTGCATTTTATAGCATAAATAACAGCAATTATAAATAAAATTTTGATGATGAGTTAATTAACTCTTTTTCCCCAAAAATTTTTTTTAATTAAATCCCTTTTTAAGTGATTGCTTTTGTTTGCTATATCTTTTATGTTTGCTATATTTAGTCGTTAGTCCATCTTCAAACATCTTGTGACAAATCCTATTTTTTCTTCTTTGCAAGCACAGAATGTAAGTTTTGAATATATTCCCTTCCAGTTTCTCTGATGTTGTAACACTTACATATACTAATAATCGTCGTTAGAAAAACAGTCACCTTTATAGTAACTAATTTTAAAAAAATTTACTTCTTACAAGAATCGCGATAGTTGATCTTAAAATTGCGTGAATATGAATAACAATTATGGATTTTGAAATCACATGAATATGAAACTAGATATACGATTTTGAAAATGAGAAAATACAAACTGGGATATAGAATTTTTAAAACGCGTAAATACAAATCACGATTCATAATTTTTAGATCGCGTAAATACGAATCATGATGCGTAATTTTTAGATTGCATAAATAAGAATTATGATGCATAATTTTTAGAATGCGTGAATGCGAATCCCAATGCCTTATTTTAAAATCACGTATAAATACGAAAATCAATGTTTGATATTATAAACCGCATGAGCAAATCAACACACTGAATTTTAAACTTGCATGAATACGAATCACTACATAGGTTTTTAAAAAGACGTAAATACGAATCACAATATCGGATTTTAAAATCTCGTAAATAAGACTCGCAACGTACAATATTCAAATCGCTGAAAAAGAATCGCAACACGCAAATATGAAAAGCTATGTTTGATATTAAAATTGTGTAAATAAGAATCGAGATATTAGCAGATTCCAGGCTTGGAACCTCTAAAAGGCTTGTCAGAAGCAGCGTCGTTTGAACTACGAAAATCGGATCTATCTGGAGGGTGTGTAAAAAATTCGGAAAATTTTATCTGCTGCGTGTAAAAGGGGAGAAAATAGGTAAAATAAGTAAAAATTAGAAAGGATTGGTAGTTATGTAGTTCGAATTTTCTGTTTTTCTTTGAAAATCGGTGAATTTTCTGAAAAAGCAGAATACTTATTAAAAAAAATGAAATTTTTAGAAAATCTGAATTTTTGATAAAAAAGCTGAAATTTAAGAAATAAAAGTGAAAAAATTCGGAAATCCGCTAAAAAAGGAAAAATCTCATCCCTGACAAAATTAACTGAATGAGCAAATAAATATTTTCAATGCAAATCCACCTCTATTTTTCCGTTTGTTTTCACACCAGAATACAAGAAGCAGCGACGTCTGAATTACGAAAATTTGAGCTATCCCGCCGACGGATAAAAAATACGGAAAATCTTATTTTCTGTGCGTGAAATAGGAGAAAATAGCTAATATAAGTAAAAATGCGGAAGGGTTAGCAGCTAGTACGTAGTTTGAATTTTCTGTTTATCTTTGAAAATTGTAAATAAATATAATTATTTTACTTCAACGACTGAATTTTTTTTAAAAAGCGGGATATTTATTAAAAAAAAAGAAATTAAAAAGAACTAAACTTTTAGAGAATCGGAGTTTTTGATAAAAAGGCTGAAAAAGCAATGCTACAGCACTTTAAAATATTATGGAAAAGAAAACTTACTGTATCACAAGTCAAGCATTGAACAGAACTCAAAATTTTTCCATCAAAAATATCTGATATTATGCTCCTGTATTGTAAAGATTTTCTTTTTTTTAAATTTAAAATTGAACTGATGATATTTTGAGAAGTCATATGTTTCACTTGAGAGATTTGTTTACCAGAAAATGATTTGTTGATGGAATCATTTTTTTGATTGATTTGGCTGACATCTGAACATCCACATTCTGTATTTCCAGAATCTATTTCTGTACTTACAGAAGAATTTAATTGTGTGGCAGGAAGAGAATCTTCAATTTTAAGGTCATCAAGGTTTATATCACAAATATCATTTTTGGAACATTTGTCTTTATCATCACATTTGTTATCATCAATTAAAAGATCTTCCTCCAGCACTAAATTAGCTTCGTCGTTTTTTCGATGGATATGAGGGTAATCACATTTTGTTGGCACAAAATTCTTACTGCCACCAACTAATTCACTATTTTTGGAAAGCTTATGCTTGTCTTCGACTCCGGTTAATAATATCTTACCATGCAAGCTTGGTATGGAATCACTATCAGGTAAAAAAGGTTTCTCTATGTTCAACATACATCTTTGGTTTGAAGAATACTTTGAAGTTTGGTTCAAAGCAAGATCTGAAGTCACAGACTCAAGAAGTTCGACAGACTCGTTGGCATCTTCAGAAAATACACCTTCATCTGCACAAGAACCTTTCTCGCTACTCATGCCAGAGTCACAGGTTTCATAATCTGCATCAGACTGACTAGAATCTTCAGAGGCTGGCATCCCAGAATCTATGCGTGTGCTATCAAATTCTTCTGAGCTATCAGGCGATCCATTTGATATGACAGAAATTTCAACCGCTGGCTCTTTTAACTCTTCATGTAATTGATCCATAAAGCATCTTAAAAATTCTTGAGCATCCTAAAAAAATGAGTTTAATTTTAATTTAAAATTGTTTATTAGATTGATTAGTTACTAAGCAAGTTAATAGCATGAACAATGGCATCAAATCTATTTCTTTAACTCTTTACTGCAGGCATATCACTAGACAGATAAGCTAACAATTATAGCTCCCAAACATTTTGACAGATTGGAGTTTCTTCCCAACTCATTTCTAACATATATTTTACCTAAGTATTTTTTTTTAAATGTAATTTTAAATGTAAGAGTGATAAAATATAATAAAATGCTTAAAGATAATGCAAATATGCTACATGAAAAAGAAAATTCACCAACTATACAAGGAAATCAAACAAAAAATATAAATTAATGGGATTTTAAAAATTTTGATCAGCCTGTTATGATTATCTCAAATGCTCGGGTTCCACACACTTTTCGATAACAAAACACTTATTTATTATATTAAGACCCACAACACTAAGAAAAAAACCATATTAATAAGTATTTTATATGGTTTATCAAAATACACATCAAAACTATGATGGTTTTGCACATTCAAAATATGGAGTTTGATTCCCTGTAACTCTATTATTTGATTCTACTTAATTTTCCAAGTCAGTAAAACTTTTCCTTGAACTTTCATTTTTAAATTTTCAACACAATATAGTTATAAAATGCAATATAATTTCTTTGGAACACTACAAGGCTGATAAATTTAAGAGTTTAGAATTTCTAAGATAAATACATTTATTTTTAATGAGCATTTTGAACACCCAGAGCTCCTTAAAATTATATAGGAGTAATAAACAGTTTAATGAAAATTACATGGAGTGACTTAAATGAAACAAATTCTCAAACTCTTTAACAAAAAAAATTTCCAATTATTAAAACTGTGACGTATTTTTAATAGAACATAACATATCACCCAGTTCCATATCTATAGGAGATTATATGAGTCATTCCACATCAAATAAATCACTTTTAGATGTAGTTATCTTCTTTCTTTACTTTACTGCAGCTTTCATTAGCCAGGCACACTCATATAAAGGGAAGAACAGAAGTTATCGAGACGTAACAGATCATTGTTATTTTTGGACTAAATCCTTACTGTTTGTGGATAAATTAATTTTTAATGAATGCATAATAAGCTGGACTAAAAGTAACTTTCGTAATTATGATGACCAATAAATAAGGCTAGTTTATAAGCAAAAATTTAAAACAATTTGGGAACCATTGGCCAACAATAACACAATTAGAAAAAAAGCATTATAGATAAAAGTCAAATCTAGGACAGTCTAATTAAGACAGCAATATAAAATAATACATATAAATACCAGAATATATGAACATGTATACAGCAATTTCCACTAGAAAGGCAGCATCATAGTATATGCATCACCAGCAAAAAATATCACCAAAAATAATCGCATAGGCACAGTGTAGACGTTACACTTCCATTTATAGTCACAACAGTTTTTAGACATTATAAAAAAAAATAAGGACTTTTAAGCACAAAAAAATAATAATAATCGAAAACAGCACACTCCTGCAATTATTTTTCATGGAATATTTATTGATATTAGGGAGCATTTTTATGTATGTAATTCTTACATTCTTACAAAAAATATATGCCTACGAAAAATTACTATCACTTAAAATAGAACATAAAATTTGATGTATGAAATGAAAATAGATAATTTGTTGACTTGGAAAAAATCCAAAAATAAAATATTTGCTCAGAAAATATAGGTAAAGGAAATAGAGAAACAAATATATTGTGCTGATTTAATTATTCTCAAGTAACAAATATGAATTTATTTCACAATCATAGACGGCGTAGTGCAGACAAATGGTTAATCACAAATTTGTCTTATCATGTCATATTCATTTTTTTTTTTTTAAAGAGCTAAAAATAAAAAGAATACCATTTTTCGAGTAAATAATCTGATAATGTTTGCTGCTTCAGAATATCTTTTGTACACATTCATATTTGAATAAATCCACAGTAATCTCAGAATTCTTGAGTGAAGCTTGCAGAAAAATGAAACCACTGCATAGAAACAAACATTGGGGGGATACGCCATCCAATCATGATAGTTCCATTTTCAAATAAGTTGCAGCCTATCGACTGGAAATTACTGCACCAGAAATATTTATGAAGTGAGGATTGTTTTTTAAAGGAGGACAAAGTAAAACTAATGTCAAAGTTATTGAAGCAAAACGTACTTGTTGAGCATAGCCTCTGAAGACAGGACACACAATTTTAATACCATACGCTACTCCAGATGGAACAACATAACTAGGTCTAAAAATAAATAAATATAAACTTTTACTGTGAAGATGACAGGTAAGAAATGTAACATTTTTCCTCATAAGTTACTAAATAGCAGAATAAAATGTATTTAAAATACAATATTAGAGAGAAAAAGAAAATAAATTATGTACTTTAGAGGAAGCGTCACTTTTTCCTGAAAAGGATGATCAGTTTTCCATTTTAAAAGTAAGAGACCTGATATTGCAGTTACAAACAAGAAGGCATGACTCTATATTATATGGTGGTTTCTATTCAACTGAAATTATTGTTTCTTTTATATTTTCTCATGTAAAATAAATTACATTTGCCTATTAACATCACTCATTATAAGCAGAAAATAATCAGCAAATGCAATATTAGAATTATGTAAAAGATTGTGATATGCCAATTATTAAATTTTTATTTACAAATTTATTTTGCAGACCATTTTAATAATTTTGAATGAAGTAATAAGCTACTAAGTGAATTAGTTAAAAGGAGGAATTTACAAATTTTGAATTTTTCCTCCAACCAGGTAAATTTTTTTCATAGAGAATTTTCTTTATGAAAAAATCTAAAATTTTCGTCATAAATTTCCAAAAATTTATAGCTGAGTTTTATAACTTCAACACATTGTTAAAAGAAATGTGCTTGGTTATGAACAAGTTTAATAACCTCTTTATTTTGAGTAATATTTAAACATCCCAGAATAAATGTGTACTATAATCATCAGTGCCAGATGTTTGTAGTGTACAGTCCGCAAAAAAAAAAGATATCACCCTGAATAACTTTCGTTCTAATGATCGGATTTTCACGAACTAAAAGTCAATCTTAATGGTTCCCGGGGGTGACCTCATATATGCTAATTAATTAGTGCTAACTATTAATTAAGTTACGAAATCAGACACAAAAACGTACTTTCTCTGAATAAACATACATTTTTTTTTACATATTTGGATTTTTCATCTTCGAAATATAGGGGGTAGCCGCAATCTGAGAAATGTGGTCTCCATAGTTTGGTCAGGAGAGCGATTCAAAGTTTGGTCCCCTTAATGTTAATTTCGCTTTTTGCGTTTTCGGTCATATTTAAAAAACTAATGAAGCAATTCAAAAAAAATTTTCACCCACTCATAAAACTCATTTACCCAAAGATAATTTCATGCAAAAAATAATTTTTAATAATTATTTATTATTTTTTATTATTTAATTAAAGTGAGGATGAAAAAATATTGAATTATAAGGTATGAATTTTTTNAAAAAAAATAATTTGGCGACAATGAAGAAATGATTAAGTGGGGCGATAAATATTAAAATGTGATAAACTTACAAGGAACCTAACTTAGCGAGCGTAGCGAAAATTTCATTCATATTTTTTTCGCTAATAATCGTTTGCAAATCCTTTTATTTTTTTAAAACTATAAAATACGATGTTTCTTTTTTTAATAGTCTAAAATTGTATTTGCAATTTAGTAAAGAAATTTGAATAAAACATCTTATTGAATAAAAAACATTTTATTCAACGAATGTCGAGTTTTATAAAAGCATGCTTCTGATAGAATATGATTATACAACAGATTGTGCTTCTTTAATGTGATTATTTTTTATTTTTTTTTCTCAATAACTGATACAATTTCTATAATATACATACGTATGAATAGATTTGGAATAAAATATTTATCAATTTCTTGAATATATTTTTTATAAATATTAATAAAAAATACTTAGTAAACATATTTAAGTATACCTCACATCATCGCAAATTTTTTAACATCTTATATATCGTTATATAATTTTTTAATAACCTGTCTGGAAGTGTTTCGCCGAACTATTTTACCAACTATTTAATTAAATTTTAACAGTTTTAAAAATCTTATTCTTTACCCTACTACGTTTATTATATCTTCATTAATAACTTATCAATTTTTTAGTACTTTAACTTAGGTTTTCTTTAAAGTGAAGTTCCTTTTTAAATTATAGTCAAGTTTTTTTTAAAAGAATTATTGTCTGCAAGTTAAGAATAAAACCTTGTTAAGAAGTTAAAAACATTCCACTGTTTACAATTATTTAATGCAAAATAGCTGATTATTTACTAAGCAAACTATTTTTTTCGAAAAAGGAATATAAATCAATGATAGTCTTTTTTTTTTTTTTTTTTTCTTGTGACTTCAACATAGATTATCTAAAATAGTGTTGATGCTTTAGAAGTCACTACAAAGAGTCTAAAGATACCGAACATAAAAAGCTGTCGAATACGTAGCCAAAATTTTTAAGCGTTCTAAAATATCTCAGTATCTTACATGTCGTCCTAACATCTTAGTTGTGAAATTAAATTTTTAATTATCTGACCACGCGTGATTCAATAATTATTTCATTATATCTTTTACTCTTTCTTTATGATTACATGTAGAATTTTTTCCGGATAATATGCTAAACTATTTTGTTTAATTTTTTTTCTTTAGCACGATTCCCAAGATATTATTGTAATATAATTTGTTATCAGGAGAAATGCCTTATTTTGTTGAGCAGGAAATAATAAAAATTGAAATTTGTAAGAAGATTCCGAAGCCATGCCAATTTTAGAACCATCTAACTTTTAAAAAAAATGCAATAAAAAATACTCAATTTCCGATCTTATTTTGATTAAAAATAAAAAAAACGTCGCAAGAAGGCTAACATACTTTTTTCAGAAATTGTGAAAACCAATTTTTCCTATATTTCGTCAAAAGAGGATAAGAATGATATTGCTCCAAGGGCCTACTCAATAATTGACCTACTCAATAATTTCGCTATTTCCAGAATGAAATCTGTTTGATCGAAAAATATTTCCTTGAAAATTAAAACGAGAAAACAATTAATTTTGTTTTCTCGTTTTAATTTTCAAGGAAATATGTTTCGATTATTTATCTAAGTTTTTATTTATCTAAGTTTATTCCATTCATTTAATAATAGCGGTATCAAGGTTAAGGATATGCGATGGAAGCCCCGTTTACTATTATACTATAAATGCATTAAATCAGGTAGCTTGAATATTTTATTTTAAGCAAATTATTTAATAATTTTAAGCAAATAAGGGTGTAAAAATAAACTCGATCAAAATACTCCGAAAGTATACCCTAAAATATATGTAGAATAAACTTTGGAATCGATATATAAAAAATAACCTTTTCAAACAACTTCGAATAGGACGGAAACGCAAACTTTTTTGAAATAGTTGTCCTTGAAACTATTTAATTTCGATTCCTGGTGCTAGGGGACATTCCATTTTCACATTCGACTTTTGAAATTTAAGGCTTGCAGCAACAAAAAAAAAATATTCATTAATTTTTTTACAAAGTAGTGAATTATTATTTTTTTCAATCAAAGAACCTGTGCCTATAGCTTATGTAAAACTTATTTTAACATTGAGTGAAATAATTTAATATGTTGTGTAACTAAATAGATAATCCTAAGAAACTGAATCGAAAATATAAAAACTTCATTGATTTAAAAAATAATAGATGATAATAAAAATAGACATGTTTTGAGTGTCCAATAATAAAAGTCACAAGTTATTCAAGCTTGACAAGTTTTGAGAATGGGCGAATATATTTGAACGCTCGAAACATGTCGACTTTTACTTCCCTCTTCATATTTTTTGAGGCCAGGTGAGTTTTTAACATCAATTATACCGTTTTACATTTGAGTCTTGATCATTATTTTGATAAGGATTTTACACTCGTTAAAGTAAACATAAGCATTTCTGTATTTTAACAGGATTTATGTGGTCTTTGAAAACGTAATAGCATCAATATTGTAAAAGTTACATTTAACTTATTGAAATTTTGAGACCAGATATTTTGAGTTAATGAAATTAAATATTTTATCTTTTAAGTTTTTGTGCCCCCATTTCAGTATCTTAAGGATCTTACGAGCTCTGCTTAAAAAGAGAGTATCAGATATATATAAGAAAGCAAAAATAATCATAGTAGCAGTATTTGGGGGTAAATGTAGTTTATCGTAATTGAAGAATATGCTGTGCGACATTTTATGGTGAATTTGCGAACGTAGGTTTCAGAATGTATCGAAACATGAGGATGCTATTTGCTAATCATCTTTATCCAAAGAAACCCATGTAACCTAAATATCTAGCAGAATGAAGCGATTTTTTAAACAATGAATCATACAATATGCAACATATTATTTCAATATCTTATTCTTAAATATAACATGTTTCAATGTTTTTTAAAATGCCACTAAACATTCAGCAATTCCTTGAGTTATAGAAAAAATAAATATCGTAAATTACAGAAAACCTTGTGAATGTGTATTAGAATTACTATACAATCTACATCTTATTCTTCAAACACTTTTTTTTTTCTTCAAACTTTCTTGCCTAGAAGACTCGATTAAATCTGTAAGAATGATTATCCCTAAAATTTTGTATATAGTAGCTATAATAAGTTATGTCAATTTGATTTTAGTAAGAAATCCTCGAATAAATATAGCAAAAACAACATATCTAAATAATGTCAGATAAAAAGTTCATGTATTTAAATTCTAATAACTTAAAAAATCATAAATAATTTATAAATCAATTCAAATTTTCTTTTCAAAGGAGATTTAAATTTTTTTTTTTTTGCTTTTTGGACAAAAATCAGCTTAAAAATTGTCTATTGGCTAGAAACTTCGAGATATTTTCTATTAACAATTAATTAAACCTCTCCCAGCAATCACAGAACCTTATTTCATTTTTTTTTACATTCAGAGTTCTTTTACTAGGTTGCCTAGCAACCTAGTAAAATTAAGCATTAAGCTTTTGAATTAGTCAATGGGTTATCTTTATTAATTGCGCTGGCGACTTTTTTTTGGCGGTTTTCTGGACTATCGCCAAATATATAAACCTTTATTGCTACCCAATTTACTACCCAATATTTTCAAAATTTTGTCTACCCCCCCTAATTCAAGTGTTTAGATTCCAAATATGTAAAAAAAAAATACATGTTTTATCAGAGAGAGTACGTTTTTGTGTCTGATTTTGCAACTTAATTAATAGTTAGCACTAATTAATTAGCATATTTGAGGTCACCCCCGGGAACCATTAAGATTGACTTTTAGTGCGTGAAAATCCGATCATTAGAACGAAAGTTATTCAGGGTGATATTTTCTTTTTTTTTTGCGGACTGTACACCAGAAGCTTGTACCAGAATAAGTGTCCCTAAAGTAAATCCTACGTAATAAAAAAGAAAAATATTGTAAAATATACTTTTATTAATTTTTGTATCTCAATGAGACAATAGACTAAACAAATGAGACAAACAAATGAGACAAATAACTCATTCATTACATGAAAGCTCTAATCTTTCCCTAATTTTATTTATAATTTTATGCAAACAATTGAAAACTCCTTAAAGCTGGCCCACACTGCCTATTTTGAAACTTGATTCCAAACATGTATAAAATGTTCCTTGGATATTTTGATAGTCAGTTTTTTTGTATTCTCTCTCTTTGAGAACATAATCCCACATAAAATAATTAAGTTAATTGAAATCTGGATAAGAGGCAGGCCACTCTTCTGTACCAATGAAATCAGGCAAATTGCCTCAAATAGACGTTTTTTTAATTTGTTGGTGTGCACTGAGTCTTGCTGAAAGCAATGCGATTCTCCTCAAAATAAATCGGAAGTAGAACCAATTAAATGTTTCTTTAAAACTTGTTCCATCAGAGTTCTCCATCAATTTCAAAAAAAAAAAATCTTTGATTTTTTCAGATATTTCAGCAGGGTTCTCACTTAACTTCAGAATAAAAATTCCCTGACTCTTCCAGGTATACCACGTAAATTTCAATGAAAATTCTAGACCATATTTTCATCAGAAAACTTTTATTTTTTTATATGTAATGTGAAATATTAGATTTTCTGGGTAACAAAATATTATTTAATGAAGATGGGAACATTTCAGTTTCACTAAATGCGAAATTTTTATAACAAATAATTGTAATAGATGTTAGAATTATTTAACTCTAATCTCAATAACTGATTACTGTTACTGACAATTTTAAGACTAGTTATTTTCCAGGTATGATATAGGAATATTCCAGATTTTTTTTTTTTTTTTTTTTTTTTATTATTTNTTTCCTGACTATTCATTGATTTTAGGAGTTAAAATAAAATTCCCTGACAATTCCAGGTTTTCCCTGTTCTCCCTGACCCATGGGAACGCTGATCAGGTAAATTTCAATAAAAATTCAGACCATATTTTATCTATTCTATGCAATTATTTTCATCAGAAAAGATCATCAGATTTTCTTTTCATTTATAATGTCTAATATTAGATTCTGTGAGCGAAAAAATCATTGGACGAAGTTAGAAACATGTCAGTTTGACTAAAATGTGAAATTTTTACAACAAATAATTGTTAAAGATATTAGAATTATTTTTCTCAAATCTCAATAACTGATTACTGTTACTGACAATTCTAAGACTGGTTATTTTCTAGGTATGATATAAGAAAGGAATTTTCAATGTTTTTGTAAAAAATTACAACTTTCCCTGACTAATCTGTGCCTTTTAGAATTAAAATAAAATTCCCTGACAATTCCTGGCTTTCCTGTTCTCCGTGACCCGTGGGAGCTCAGTTCAGACAGTACTCTGTGTTGATTTTAACTTCAGGATCAATAAAAAGATACGGAAGCTTTCCTTTTGGGAAATGGCATCCTATACCATCACTTTTGATGCATTTTGGTATTGTTCTACTGTCAACTAATTTTTAGGAATGTCAGCAAGACCTGCGCAATATACGCTATTGTTTTGCTGGTTGTAACTATCTACTAGAACAGCATCTACTAAAAGGTGTTCCACGGAACCCTAGGGTTCCTTGGGAGGAACTCATAGGTTCCGAGAGTAAGGATTTTTTTTTAAAACCAGTATTATTCAGATTTATATCAAATCATAGATCTCAGTATGTATTTTACATTAAATTATTTAGGTTAAATGCCTATGAAGAAAGAAGAATCAAAATTTAAAAAAAAAAAAAAAAATTCAATAACAATTTATTGAATTAATTATGAAAAGAATTTTCATTTATAAAAAACTCTATTAGTATTTCTAATCTATCTTTTGATTTTAAAGTAAAATAATCAAATTCATGAATAAAAATTTATGTTTCGCTGATAACTATTTTCAACATTTATAATGGTTTTTTTTAACACCATAGTTCCACTTATTTAAATCATTTTCATCCATGCATAAACTAAAAACCAATTCAAGTATTTATTTCTTCATATAAATATGCATAAAAGTTAGTGATAAAAATTTCTCATCCCGAAAAAGAATGTCACAACCTATATGCCAACATAGTAACCTCTTGCTCTTTTTTACTCTAGCTTGCTTTGTGTATTGGTAAGAGGACGAGTTAGTTGTTTTTAATATGGTTTTGGTATAGTTTTAGTATGGTTTCTTTGAGTATTCTGTTTAGGTTGATGATGATATTTGTATCCTTTTTCAATTACCTCTAACAGATTGACATGGATTGCACATAATTCGTTCTCTAACAGCTTTGATAACATTTGAAGGTTCTTTGCTTTTTCAATACTTTTATCTATCATAATTTAAAATAAAAGGTGACAAAGCCATTGCCTCGTATTCAAGAGAAAACTTTGTTTTTGCCTTCACTGACGGTTGCTCAGATGAAACTCTTGATAACGGAGGAGCTGGTGTCAACTTTACTTTCCCAAAGAGTGGAAGCACAAAGCAATTTTAAGATCAGAGGAGGCAAAATAGCTTCAAACTACACTTGTGGATTCATTGCCATCTAAAAAGCCCTAGATGAGTATATAAATCTTGAATAAAATGAAAGAGCCAAAGGGTTAATCATCCTCAGCGACTGCAGAGCTGCTCTTCAAGCAATTCAAAGGGGTTCCTCAGGGCTATTTATAAATATAAACAGTGCGCTTTGTAAGATTTTCCATTTGAAGAAACAGTGCACCATGCAGTGGATTCCCGCGCATGTTGGCATTACTGAAAACGAGATGGCTGATGCCTTGGCAAAAGAGGCAAGACAATTAAACACCAACAAAGTTACTCATGTCACTCTCAGCGATATCAATTCAGTGACTAAGACAAAATTCAATGATAGGAAAATCCAAATCAAACACCAAATCCCTGAAACCAGTACCAATAGAACTCTCACCAGCACACTAACAAGACTCCAGACAGGACACTTTAGGGAGATGAAGATTCATGGTGATGTAACAAGGACTTACTGCCCCTGCAAAAATTGTCCAGACATAGAACTAACTCCCATACATCTTTTCAACTGTCCCGTTATACTGGCGCAATTGCAGCAAGTGACAATCGGTGGGCGGACTTATATGAAGAAAATTGCCTTCGAATTGCAGATGTTGTATATAGGACCTTTGATCACATTTAAAATTATTTTCTGCCCATGACACGACACCAACCAACCATCTATCATAATACAATTATCTAACTAAATCGTAATTTACATAAAAGATTATTACTGTTATGTAAGGCATTTTACTTCTTCAAACACAGAATAGTCGCAATAATTTCTATTTCTCATGAAAAGTTATGGATAGTTTTTTATTTAATGACAAGGTTAAGCAATTTATAAATAAGAACAAGTTTAAACCCCTCAACAATGTTTGTGTGCAGCTATGCACAAACTTATGAAATCTGCATGCAATTTTTTTTATACAATATTAAAATTCTAATTTTAATTAAAAATTTTAAAAACCTACAGAAAATAAATTGCTTTAATACTTAAATACTTGTTCATAACATACTGTACATTCAAATGTATTCCAGTCTGCCCTAATGATTTTTTTTCATTAAAAGAAAATTGTTTAATTTTTTTAGGTCATTAAAATTAAATATTTTATAAAAATTTAAAGATAAACTAGTAAGTAACTGATAATAATAAAAAAAATTAAAATGTAAAAGTTATTCTGACAATATGGCACCTTGAAATTAAGCATAAAGTAAAAGCTTTTTCATTTTCTCTTGTAACATTTTTTAATAACTTTATTATTTTTTACCTATTAACCTACTTCTGGTTTCTTTTTACATTGAAAAAATTCATAAGTATCAAAACACCTGATTTTATGAATAATTATTTAATTAAAATATCCCCATTTATTGAGTGCAGATCATAGATATGCAGCAGAAAGATAAATTAAACAAACCTTTTTTTATGCCACATCTCCTTCATCAGCCTCATATAGCTATTAGATAGACTAGCTTTCTTTTCTGATTGCACAAATGAACCACATTCAAGAAAAAAGTTTGTTAATTGAGGACTAAAAAAGGAAAAAAAGATTATTACACTTTTTAAAACAATTCCACTTAGAAAAAAAACATTTGCTTGATAGCTGTTGTTCTCAAATATTAAGGGAATAACCTAATTTTACACATAAAAATGTTTAAATAAAGCTTACAAATTTTACAAAACTTTTGAATTAATGGTGTTTAGTGTTGTATTCAAAAAAGTGAAAATTAAAGTTTATAACTCAAAGCTCCTATATTTAAAATCGAATCATTTATCATTAACATAAGAGGAAATTAACTTTAAATTAAGTAACATACCAGTTAGATAAAGCTTGAATAGCTGAATTCATGTAACAAGTATTTCCAAGATTTTGCAAGCCAGTTAAACCTATATAAACAAATTCATATATAAAATGCAAAAACTTCAATATTTAAACAAATACTAATTTTAGTTTTTGAAATGAAAAATAATTATGATAAGGCAACTTGTTACATGTTATTTCAAAATACAAATTTAAAATTTTTGCCAGTTATTACTTTCTTGAAAATCACTGCAAGAACGATGAAAAAGATTTCTAATAATAATAATTTAAAAATAACACAACTTGAGAATTCATTAAAAAGATAAATCAATTAATGATATTTCAAATTGAAAAGAATAATTTTTGTTACTCTGGCTTCAATACATTTTTAATCAAATCATTAGAATTTCAGTAATATCTAAATAAAAAAAATACAATTAATACACAACTAATCAGAAGTAACTTAGTAGATAACTTCTTACATTACTATTTAAAAATTTTATCATTGTTTAAATCTTAAAATTTAGATTTTAGCTTAAACCTAATAAATAATTACATCACATTATAGATAAATATGAACAATAATTATTTCTCCTTTGCAGTTGCTGAAAATAGGAAATAAGTGATACTCATTAAATACTCTTATTAGTAAATACTCTTTAATTTGTAATTTTATGATCATAAAATAGAGATTTTTCAAAAACTGTCGCAAATTCTCAAAATAGTCCATGGAGGCTCGAGTCAGAGGGTCATGAAAGTTAGGGCTCCATAATTTCAAGGCATACGACACAATGGTAGTAATATAATCAGCATTGTACACCCACTGCTGTTACTTTCTAGACACAGAAAATTCTGAAACAACTTATCTAGTAAAGATGCCTGTAACTATTTTTTACAATTAGTGGAGAATCAGATATACAAGACTTCTGCAATTTTAAAATTATCATCTTATTTACATTATTATAAATTATAATTAGATAATGAGAAGCAGAAAAATTTCAATACGACAAAACTCTATGGCAGGGATGGGCAAACTGCGACCCGCTGGAAGGTTTTATCCGGCCTGCAGATAGAATTTTAACTTGCCGATTTGTGGCAAATATAAACAATATACATTATACATCCATTTCCTTGTCTACTTTGTTTAAAGCTATTTTTGTTCTTTTTTTTTTTAACAGAGTACTGATGACCTTTTTATTTTCGCTATTTTTGTTCTACAAAACATATGATGGAAATACAGTCAAACTTTGATATCTCGAACTTGAAGGGAGAGGAGAAAAAATTTGAGATACCAAAAATTCAAATTATCGAAGGTAGAATAAAGAAAAATGCTCTTTACGTGCTTTATTTACTATTCCATATTTATTCTAAAATCACTTTTTACACTTTCATTTAAAAAAAAGATTCAATTGTTGCTTGCTTTAGAGATGTGTAAGAAAGTTTGTTTCTAACACTTCCTGAGTGGACTATAGATTTATATGTCTCCTCTGACATATTCGGCAGCCTCTCAATAAATCTCCTTACAGTGTCCACTGCAGAAAGTGCTTGTTTGTTAGTAACATTGGGCGGTAAATCTTCTATTTCCTCATCCTCTTCTTCTGATAGTTCACAAGAAGCTTTCGTTTGAGCGATGATATGATTGTCATCCCACTGACCACACACTGTTACTGCATCATCTACATTTACAAAGTCATGAAATTCCATGTCATTAAGCTTAATGAGTCCGGTCAATCTGTCCCAATCATTTTCAGTGTAGTTTTCAGAAGAATTAACGATATTGATTGTTTGACTACCTTCGTGATCTTTAATGAATCCAGCCTTCTTGAAGCCATTCATTATCGTAGAGGAAGACACATCATTCCATGCCCTGTCAGCCATTCGTATAGCTTGTAGAACACTAATAACAGATGGTGAAACCCCATCTTCCATTTCGGACGACATTTTTTGACCACTTGATGACAATACTTCTTTTTAAAACCTTGGATGATGCCCTGATCAAGTGGTTGAAGTTTTGAGGTAGTGTTTGGGGGGAGAAATTCAATTTTAATGTTTTCTATTTTAAGTATGCTATTGTGCCCCGTACAGTTATCGATGAAAAACACAATTTTCCGTTTTTTTTTCTTTCATTTTCGTATTTAAATTTTTAAGCCAGCTTTCAAAAAGGTTTGATGTCACCCAAGCTTTTCAATTAGCTTCATATTCTATAGGAAATTATTTTATGCCACTGAAACATCTTGGTTTTTTCGATTTCCCTATCATCAACGGTTTTAACTTTTCTATTCTATTAATATTTGCACAAAACAATGAAGTTAAACGCTCTTTACTTCTCTTACCTCCATGACATGCTTCACCCTTTACATGCATAGTTTTGCCTGGAGAGCATTTTAAAAAAAAGTCCAGTTTCATCCGCATTAAACGCGTCTTTTTCGTTGTAATCCTTCACGATCAAGCATATTTTCTTCCTAAATTCTTTACAAACTTCTTCGTTTACGCAAGCACTTTCACCACACATTTTCAAACATGTAATGCTGTTACGTTTTTTTAAATTTTCAAACCAGCCATTACTTCCTTTGAAATTTAAGTGGCCTAATTCTTTTGCAAAAGATTCTCAGCTTTTTCTTTGATTACAAGTTCAACAAGAGGGATGTTTTGACTTCTACGTTGTGTAATCCACATCATAAGGCAGTTTTCCATATCGGAAAATTCACAGGTTTTTAACTTCTTTCGCTTGCCTAGGCCATCCTTGAACTTTTCTAAGATAACTGCTTTATTTTTTAAAATTGTCGAAAGCATACTACTTGGAATCCCAAATTTCCGTGCAATTTTCTTTTTCTTTTTAGAATATTTTTTCAACTTTGTCAATGATTTTCTTCTTTATTTCTACGGAAAGCGTGTTTAATTTTCGTTTGCTAGCCATTTTAAACAAATGACACACCAAAGATCTAACCTCTAAGTGCTCTAATTTTCTCTGAAATAACCAAGAAAGGAAACTTTTTTGGAGGTCGCTTGGTAGCTTGAATGTGAAACAAAACAGGCATGCATTCACACGTAACTTTCACCCCTTGTTGCAACGATAAGAAATTTTAGTTTTCCTGGAAGCCACACACCTTTCTGACTCTTGTTAATGCCGTCATTTCCGGTATTCTTAAGACCACTCCAAGAAATAACCTTGCAGAATAAAAAGACAAAGAGAGCATAGACGGTCATTGCATTGCAATGGCAACTAGTACTGGGCGATGTTAAGATTTCAGCATCGTGATGCATCACCACTCAAACATCACGATGTTTCAATACATCGCAACGTTTGACATTCCATACATGTTTCAATACATCGCGATGTCACGTTACTGTTTTATATTTGGTTTTGCCAAATTTTGCATTCTTGCATAACTTTGCTTTTTATTTATTTGATGCCACTGTGAAGTAAGACTAAAACTGAAATTTTAAATATATATATATTAGATTTTTAGAATTTAAACTTTGTGTGTTTGGGGAAAAAGAGTAAGATTTCAAGAGAGGGATAGTCAGATAAACTTTTTAAAAAGTGAAAATCTGCCAAAATGCGTCAAACTGACATTATACAAATTATATTCATTTTATAGGTATATATAAACAACTAAGTGATTTATAATTGAATGTTGTATTTAATTTCAATAAAGTTATATAAAAAATATAATCAATAGGGAAAAACGTAAAGATAGGAGTAAATTAAATGTATGACTTTATAGCCTGGTCTATCAATGTTTAGAAAAAAATATTTTTTGTAATGTTTTTTTATTTTATTATTATTTTTATTTTGATTACTTTCTTCTTCTGGATTAAAATAATTCAATAGACTGTCTTTTTCAATTTAAACAAAACACATCTTTTCAACCTTCAGATTTTGCACAAAAAAAATCGGAAGTTTTTAAATTAAAGAAAAAGGGTAACGAATAAATAGTTAACAAGTTAAATGAATAATTTATTAAAATTTTACATGCAGCTTTGAAAAAAATGAGTAAATTATCCTTAAGGATGAATTAAGAAGGGTAAAAATAAAAAAGAAAAGAATAGTATTTCAACCTTAGCCAAACAAAAATTATTGTTAATTTTCAACAATCTTTAAGATGGTTAGGTATCTTAGACAAAACCACATTAAAAATTATTACATTAAGAAATAATCTTTCTAGAAAATAAAATTAGAAGAAATTGGTGCATTTTTTTTCAGCTTTTATATTGTAATAAATTTATCTTAACATGAATATTTTAGCAATTAATATTTGATATTTGTGGATAGAGTGTAGTGCATGAAAAAAAATTTACTTTTGGCTTAGTAATCAGAATTCAAAAAGTCAGATTTTTTTAAATTTATTTTTTAGAAACTATTCAACTAATTGCTTTTAACTTTTTTACTTTAAAACAAGAAATTATATTCATCAAAAAAATTGCATACCTTACAATTCAAACTTTTTTCGACTATTACTAATAAAAAAAGGAATTAAAAATCATTTTTGCATAAAATTATCTTTGGATAAACGAATTGTATAATTTTGTGCTAAAATTTTTCAATTCGAGTAAAAAGTTCTCAAGATATGACGAAATACGCAAACACCAGCATTAACATCAAGAGATCCTAACTTTCGATCGCTCTCCTGACCAAATTATTAGGACTATATTTCTCAGATTACGACTACACCTTACATTTTGAAGGTCAGGAATCATAATCCGTCAAAAAATTTATTCAGATAAATACGTTTTTGTGCCTCACTTTGTAATTTAAAACATTGTCTGCTTAAACTAATTAGCATATTTGAGGTCTCTCCCTCAAACCACTAAAGATTAGGTCCTAACACGCAAAAATCATATCAATAGACCAAAAGTATTAGCCTGCCGCAAAGTATGTCAGCCAACTGTAAAAATAAAATGGAAACTGTAAAGATAAAAATAAAATAGAAATTATAAAAATAAAATAAAATTCAAAATGCGCATTGAGCCAACAATTTAAAAATAAAAAACGTAATAGAAAAAGATAAAAAAAAAAAACTATGGATTGAGAAGGACAGAAAACTTAGAACAGCTGATGTGTATAACCTTTTGGCCTTTCATTCTCCAGAATTTCTTGAAGAATATCCTTCAATAATTTATTGTAGGCAGTAGAAATATTGAAAGTAGTAACCTTCAATATTTTAGAGGAAATAGCGAAAAACTAGTATAAAAACAAAATTTCCTGGAAAAGGATACGATGGAAATTATTATGGCTTCAATATTATAAAAATCAATTATTTAAAAATTTATTTTCAGAATTATTGCTAACCTAATTTAATACTATGTTGCTAAACTATATTTCGTGAAAATAAAATTTAACTGCACAGTCTTATAAAAATCGTTATAAATAAGGAAGATCGAAAAGCAATCAAGTCGAAAAAGAAAATGGTAAAGAAATAAAAACGAAACGACTGTCTTAAAAAGAAAATTTGCGTTTGAAAACTCGTTTGCCAAAAGTTTTTGCAAAAATATTACATTTTTTTATATTTTCTAACAATAATAATAATTTTTCAATAATTGAAAACGCGGTCAATATGCAAAATTGCAGCTTTATACAAAATTATTAATGAAAACATTTTATCCATATTGAATGAATGCAATTCTTTAGATTTAACAAAGAAAAATAAATAGGTAAAAAAATAAATAAACAAAAAGTTTTATTGGAACAGATCAAAAACGATCTTTTCTTCAACAAGACAAAAATTATCTCAAAGTATTATCAAATAACAAAACACAAATAATCCTCAGAGAATCCTTTTTATTCTTGGATTTGCACAAATTGAAGAAAATACTTTTTCATCTTTCATTGGCGATTAGTTAGTTTCACTCCTAGTCACATCGTAATTCATCGTTACTTGATAATTTGCGAAAGAAGAAACACACAGGAAAAGATTGTCACGGCAATCAATGTCGCCTCAGGATCGGGGGAAATGCTCTTCGTGCGCCTATGAACATCGATGTTGAATCTGAAGAATCGCTCTGCGCGGCATCGGGAAACATTGTACTCATCGCACATACATCGGAATTTCCGATGCTTCGTAAAAGACGCCAACCTAAACATCGGATCGGCTATTATTACCCAACATTGATGTTTTCCGATGAATCGACGTATTGCCCAGTCCTAATGGCAACTGACTGAAAAGATAGGGAAACAATAAAACAAGAATTTCGACTATGGGGGTTAAGAGAAGTGATTTCAATGTGTTACTGAGTCCTTATGTCCATTTTTTTAAAAAGTTTACCATTATGAGGATTGGTTTTCCATTCGTAAATTTTTTTTGGAATATTTTTTTTATCTTCAGAAAAAAAATCTACAGTATTTATGGAAAAAAAATTCAAGTTATCGAGGGATTAGAAAAAAAAATTCTTGAAATAAAGTTTTTTGTAACATTGAGTGTATAGGAAATTTCAAGGGAATTTTTTTTTCTTCGAGATATTGAAAAAATTCGTGAAATCGAGGTTTGAGTTAGCAAGGTTCGACTGTAGTTAGTACAGACAGCTTCAGTTGAAAAAATGTTGGAAGCAGAAGTTCTTTATAGAGTAGCCGTAGATTGGCTCCAAGAGCATTTGTCTTCCTCGAGGTGCAGACATATGGAATCTAATATAGGTTAATTGTACATCACATGAGACAGGCTGCGCATTTTAAGCTCCATGAGACAGACAGAGGTTTTTCTGCTGGCGTGAGTTTTAACATTTATTGTGTTTGGAAAGATTGCCCCAATATAACGTCATCGTAAATAATGGTTAAATTATTAAATGCATAAAATGGCTAGTGCTTTTTGTGAGTTATTTGCAAAAATTTTTAAGCCCAAAATAGCTACTAAAAACGCAAAGTTGATTCGGAATGCCATGCGTTCAATGATGAATAGACTTGGAAAAAAAAATTTTACAGTTGTAAAAGATAAACCAGCATGTCTTATCTGCAATGAACTGCACCAGTTTTTAAAGAATACAACATTAACCGACATTTTACAGCCTTGTGCAAGAATGCCAACTACGAAGCAATGTCTGAATGTGAAAGAAGACAAAATGCAGAAAGTTTTCTTAACGAATTATCAGGCCGACAAAATGTTTTCAAGAAGATAAACAGAAGCAGCTACGCATGCAAGCTACATTGTAGCATACAATATTGCTAATATTAATGAATCTCTCGGTGATGGGGTGGGGAGTTTGTGAAACAATGTATGCTCCAAGTTTGTGATGTTTTATGTCTAGACATGAAAAATAATTTTAAGGTTGTAAGCTTATCGCGAAAAACGGCGACTTCTAGAATCAAAGCTATCGATAAAAATTTGACATTACAATTAGAGTAAAAAATTGCACAATTTAAATTTTGCTCAATGCCTATGGATGAAAGCACTGATATTATTGATAGCGTTTAATTAGTGTTATTTATAAGAGGTGTTGCTGAGAACTTTGAAATTACCGAGGAATTGGCTCGTATGCGTTCTTTAGACGGAGCTACCGCGGGATGTGATATTTTTCGTGAGTTTCAGGAAAGGTTTTTAACTTTGAAAGTGGTCATAACAAAAATATGTAACATTTCGACTAATGGGACACAAACTATGACAGGCAAAAAATATAGATTCCTTGGATTATTTAATCAGAATTATCCAGGGAATAATGTTAATTTTCTATATTGTGTTATACACCAAGATGCTCTGTGCAAATCTGCTGTGCAAATGAAACCTGTGCTTGATGCAGTAGTAAAGCTTGTTAATTCTATTCAATTTTGTGGGCTTACTCACAAGCAATTCCGAGATTTTCTTCAGTCCGTGCAATCTGAATACTCTGATGTACTGTATTACACGAAAGTAAGGTGGCTTAGTGCAAGACGTGCTTTCGAGCGAGTTTGGCAGCTGAAAGACGACATTGTGTCGTTCTTCCATGAGAAACAGTCTCCAGCAGAGTGCGAAATATCAGAAGATACAGAATGGCTTTCAGACTTAGAATTTTTCACAGATATCTTTTGTTATATGAGCAACTTGAATGTTAAGATGCAAGGGAAAAATCAATTCATCAATGATATCTGGGCCCATCTCAAAGCTTTTAAACTGAAGCTTAATCTATTTGTTGGGCAGCTAGATAAGAAGTTTTATTTCTCGAACTTAAACTCAATACCCTCAGTAAATAAGGAAAAGCTAAAGAATTATGAAGATGGCTTGAAAAAACTCCATTTTGAATTTGAATGCAGATTTTAGTGCCATTTAAACAGAATTAGATATTTTTACCATGCCTTTCAATATAAATTGTGAAACAGTGAGGTCGGATTTGCAGCTTGAATTAATTGAGTTGCAATCTGAGCAGTTGTTTCTAAATATGCCAAAGTTTGAGTTTAACAAATCATTACCAAAAGCTAGTTTCCAAAATTTAATATCTCATGCCAAGAAAATCAGTGCTATGTTTTCTTCATCTTATATATGTGAACAAGTGTTTTCAACTATGAACCTTAGGAAAACTCATCTCAGAAGTAGACAGACAGACAAGCATTTAGCCTCATTCCTTAAAGAAAGCACATCTCACTTTGAACCTCAATGTAAGGAATTTTTTAAAATAAAATCACTATTTCATTCATCTCATTAAATATTTAAATTAAAGCTTGTATATCGTTTTTTTTTCTTTTAATTTTAGAAGTTTTTACTCGGCCCACCAAACTTTTTTCTCTCGATTTTTTGCCCTCGACCAAAAAAGTTTGCCCATCCCTGCTCTAAGGTGTACAAATGAAGCAAATGGTGTAGCTATGGTGTACAATGTAATGAAAATCTAGATTAGCGAATTACCACCAGACTTCACTTTCATTTTTTCAATTTGTAATGTTAGGGATTGGGAAATCAATAATTTGTTTAAAAAAATGATGTATAGAAAATTCTAAGACAATGAATCCAGTAAAAAATGCATGCAACTATTTTGTACAATTAGTAGACAGTCCCTAAATTCGATGTATCAAAATTTTAAACTGAGTTGTAAATTAATAAATAAGGGATGGAGGGTATAAAGTTTTTTGGTATAACAAAGCTCTGTAGTATACGAGAGTTAAAAATAGTAGAAAATTTAAGATTAGATGAAAACTTTTTAATTTCAAATTAACAATTTTCTTTTAATCCAAATTTAATTTGATTTACCAAGACCTAACAATCTAGCGTGGTATGATGAGCCTTTAGATTTTCAAAGAACTGTTACTCGATGAAAACAAATTTCTTTCATAATAACTAAAAAAAAACACAATGGTACAAAATTATTTAAAAGTTTGAAAAAACTAGTTCCAACATGGGACTATTACATTATTGATGAAAATTTCTACTCTCCTATTTTTTAAGAATCAACCTCACGAAATAAGCTACAACAAAAACTATCTGAAATCAACAATTGCTATCAGCAATAAACGTGTGAAAAAAAGATGACATTTTTACTGAAGAATGATAAAAAATAAAAAGGAATAGTTTTTTATGCACAAAAAGTTTAACATGAACAAAAATATACCTCTAGGCTTTAAATTTTCATCACTTCCCTCAATATCCTCCTCTGAATCTGTATCTATTTTATTTATCAGTGGGTGAACAGGAAGCATTCCAGGAAGTGGGGGATCATTATTTTCTAAAAACACTTCACATTCACACAGCAGACAATATACTCTCAATGAAGTAAGGTTTAAAAATATGGAATGTTCTTTGTATTTCTGAAAATATAAGGTACTGTCAGCATTAGATAATAAGAGAAAAGTGAAACTAAATTCATCAGTTTTAACAAACAAATACCGAAAAGTGTTTCAGGCAGTGGTTACTTCCATTGCAACCGACATACAAGCAATTCTTGTGAAGACACACCCACAAGTATGGACCTTCTGTTTTACACGTATCACATGGTGACTGAAATACCAAAACATATATAACAGTAAGAAACAGAATATTGTTAAATAAGAACTGAACAGCAGTTTAAACTATGCTTAGAACAATCTTGGGCCTGGTGGTAATTAACCCATTAAACATTCTCTTTCTTAGGATGGCCCTAGAAAAATTCATCCAGACTCCAGATTATAAAAGAGTCCAGAAAATAGGACTCCAGATTTTCATCTGGGTCATTCTCACAAAAAGGTGATTTTTTAAGTCCCTTAGTAATAAATATTAGGAAGTACAGCAGATTTCTTAATATTTTTTGCAAAGTTCTAACTAACAAATCATATGCATTTCTGCTAAATGTATTTAATATTTCATGCTTATTTTTTAATAAATGTAACTTCAAAATCCCCTCCGTGGACGTCCCTACCTCTGTGACACAAAATAATTTTTAATGGCTGTTAAACAATTTAAATGTTATTTTAATGATTTTTGTAGTTTTAACTAGTTAAATGTTGATAGTAACTTTTTATTTAATATTTTTTTAAAAAAAAATTATTTTTATAAAATAAATGACTAGTAAACTTTGTCTATCAAAAATGAAATCTCCCTCCATGGACAATTAATATAGTTTGGTTAATATGCAATAAAGAGCAGCATATGCGAAATCCCTATAAGACAGCTGCTGGGAAAGGTAACCATTCTATTTTCTAATGTTAACTACAAGTTTTTTTTGTTCTCTTTGGTGTCAGTTTTGGATTGTTGTGTTCAACTGGGGTTTGGCCAAGTTCTCACCGTATACTCCGTGGACATCATAAAGAAGGTAAGACAAAATTATTTTATTTTTGATAGCTGAATTTTAGATTGCAAAAATAGTATATTTACTAAAAAGAACTGCGCCATTTTTGTAACTTTAAAATCAAAAATCAGTAAAATTCAAGAACTAGTTTTTGTCTCCTCCGTGGACTTAACAAGTCCACAGAGGAGAAGACACAGTCAATGGAAGAGACAATGTGTAAGATAACCATAATACAATTCAAATAATTAAAAAACTATTTTCTTTTAATTGATATTTTTTTAAATGGAACAAATGTGTTAATTTGCTTGTATTTTTAAAGAGCTTAACTTTTTCTTATCGGAAAAGTAAATATTGGCAATTTTTCTAAATAATTTCTGTGATGTTTAACATTTTTTTTCTCTTCAAACTTTAGGAAAAAAATGGCAAAACCAAAATGTAAAAAAAGAAAGCAATCAAATGTTCAAATGCAAAAGAGAAGGGAACAGAAAAAACTTAGTAGGAGACAAGCTAGACAGAAATTAAAAGAAAACCCTATATTGTTTGAAGTAAAAAAAAAAAAAAAGAGCAAGAAACTTTCAAATCTGTATCAGAAAAATCGTGATTAAATGCACTTAAATTTCTAGAAATTGATGGAGCAAGCCGTTTGTGCCCAGTGAAAAAAGAAACAATAACAAGAAGAAAAGAGAAAAAACAAAAACATTATTTGGATGACGGTATGTTTAACTTACATAAAATGTTCATAAAAGAGTACCCTAAACACTCAACTTTCATGTGGAATCTGAATTTTTATTTCAATAGTCTTTACATTTTAATTTATTAATATTCAGTAAGAGTTACTTAAAAAATTGTACACCTAGGTGAAAAATGGGTGTTTCCTTTTATAGCAGCATGATTAATCGGAAGTAGCTCTATCTCTAATAATGAAATATTTTATTATTTACTTATTAATGTTAAACTCATATCAGTTGTACCCAATAATTAATGAATTAGTCTTTGTTGACATTTTATATTTTATAACATAAAATTTCTCCTCCGTTGACTATTACATCTCCTCCGTGGACAAGACAGAATTTAAAATATTTTAAATCTTGTAAAAAATAAAATCGAAAACTTGACCATTATTATAAGGGCGTATAACAAAAATAAAAATAGGCATTTATATAATTTTTAACACTTTTTTAATTACTTTAATTTAAGAAAAAATTTTAGTCTATTTATACCTTTTCAGTGAGAATGACCTTCCTACATTACAGCATTAACATATGAGCACATATTTATTACAAATAAACATGTATGCAAAATAATATATATATATTTTTTATTTTAATGTTTTGAAAACATTGTTAAAACTTCTTTTGCATTATGACTAACATCTCAGATTTTTGATGTTTAATACTAGGCTTTTTAATACTTGTCATGTCAAAAACTAGTTTTGATTTTAAAACTGAACCTCTGGATCAGTACCTGAAAAACAGCTGCCTACTTTTGGTGGAGGTGGCATATAGTAAACTAAAAAGCAATACAGAATAAGTAAAACTCGAGAGGGAAGGGTAAATCTTGTAGCCAACCCACTATTTTTAAATAATTTACTGCAATGAAAAAAAAAAAAAAAAAACACAGCAAAAATGCCTTGACATTTTTGCAAATACAGCTAGCACAAACAGATAATGGAAGTATTTTATATGTATGAATAGGCTATTTTATAATTTTGTATTTCATAATTATGAATAGATCTATTTATTACTGTTCACATTATGTAAAATAATATTTCTTGCATAAAATGCATTTTTTCCTCTTTTTCAACAAAAATATTAATTTCTTCGTGTTGTGAGTGGGGAAGAAATAGAATTGCCTTTTGGTGAGATTTCCATATCGGTAATCTTTACTTGATGACAACTAGGCAGTGGCACTTGAGGAACTAAAAAAATAAAGAATTGGCTAACTTGAAAGACAGTATCACTTAGCAATTTCAGTTGACTGAAACAGGTACCAACAAATCCCCCCAGCATAAATATCCCCCTGAAAATGTGCTCGTCATTAATTTAAAATATCATGCTACATTTAAATTTAACTTAATAAACAAAACGAACAATAATAGTAAAGCAAGATCCAACATTAAAAGTAGAGCAATTATAAGCAAAACAAATCTATAATAATCAAACTATTTAACAAAGCATAAAGATCCATTTACATAAAGATTTATTTATATCTGCTCGAGAAGTGAGGTTTAAATCATGTAACACCTTTCCCTTGTGTAAAGTAATTACGGACAATTTTTTGATCTCTTTTAGAATGAAACCGCATATTTCTATGCTTAAAATTTTTTATTATGTTTTTTTCTTTTCTTGTTAAAGAAAAAATAAAACTTACACTTTGCTTGCCTATAATATCCTCTTTTGTATAATCGCCAATTACATGAATATGTGAACATTTTGACTTAGGAGTACTCATCCTGAATTTGCTACTGCCGAAGTATAAACATGAACTAAAAGAACTATATGTGTAAAATTTAACTAATAACTGAAATTATACAGAGTTTCCTCTGTAGTCAAAATTAATAAAAACGAGATCATTCTTAAAACACAACAGAAAATATCTACATGACAAACGAAATAAACTAATCCACTTTGCTACTTTTCATTGTAAGAAATAATCGAAATTTCTGTTAAAACAGAAATATTAAACGTAAATAGCAGTAAAATTTAGGTAATTGCAAAATTTCGCTTTAAATTGGAGGTGCGACGAGTTCTATTATGTTTATTTATTAATAGGATTGGTGGTGCGACAAGTTTTCTGACAAGTACACCATCTCAGCTCATTGTTTTTCTCAATTTGCTGCTGCTTGGCAGACTGTCTGAATAAAAGGCTGTTGCTTGGCTGACCGCCTTTTTAATAAATAGAGGCATTTGATTGGTCCATTACATCATCGTTTTCATCGTTATCGCTTAATCGTTTTGTCAGGTTTACTAGAATGGCGTTTTTAGCATTTTTGTTTGGCGCAATTTTAATAACGCGCATGCTTAGTTTGATAATTTATTCAAACCAATCGAAGTACTTCGTAGACAATGAATATAGAGGTTTGTATCCCCTCCTTTGCTCGTGTATACTCAAACAAAGACATAAAGATGGAAAGATCAATCATTGTACCAAACAGATGTCAGGGTGAACTTTGACACTGGACACATCACTGGTCTCGATTTTTTTTATTTGATTTTCATAAATTGTTATGATAAATAATAACATTCTGTCTCTGTGCCAGAAAAATTTGAACACATTTTTTTTAAAGATTTATAA